AAAAAGGAACGGTTGAAATTAATCAAATAAGAGTTTTCTAAATGAAATAAGAGTTTTCTAAACGGTTGAAATTAATCAAATTTTGTGCTGCAATCACAGAGGGAAGCAACAAATTTACTGCTCTTTTGCCACTTGCTAAATGTGCTGATACTATCGCAGGTTTGTGCATTGGAATCACGACTCAGTTCACGTCAACTATCGGATGAAGTACAGAAGAAACTGTGCGATGAAATAGGCGTCAAATTCACAACGGTGCAGGAAGAGCGTCAGAAATTCGCTCAGGAAGTTGTAAATGGTACCACTGGCTTACTGTACTACTTTCAGCACCTTTGAAATTTCATTACTACTCTACGTCAACAAGCGAATATTACAGTGCATCCTAGCATGTTCAGCCCTTTTAATTTTATAAAATCGATTTCTGATAAAAGTACAGCTGAATCACAATTGATTGATCCTGACTGATCAAGAAAGAGCTGATCACTGTAATAATCTATGCGCAGCTGAATGGCACCGAGTAATTGCGTAATATCATGATTAATCTGATCAGAAATCATGTGCTTTTGATGCGTTAGTTAATCAAATAGTGAGTTACAGAAGAGCGGCGGCTGCTCGACGAGGTAGTAAAATCGGAAAATGAAGCGCAGTACGAAACAATGAGGGGCATTGCAGATGATGTATTTGTCCGAAAACGCTCTAGTAAGCAAATACACGATAATTCATTAACTACAAAGTAATCGAATTTCTGAATAATTATCTCGAAAACATACAGCTTTACTGCAAACACTAGGCTAACTTGTCAGTTTTAAAAACCTAACTGTTAAGTGGTGATGTTTCAGATGTCCCGACTTCAACTCTAGGTCCAACAGGAACAGCTGAGAAAAAGCCAGCCGACGGTATGCATTATAGACTTACCAGAAATTTATATTTGAAATGGAGTATTTCTCCTAAAAAATCTAATTGATCCCATATTTCAGAAGATCACTATGAAAACGTGCTGAAGCGTAAGTTAATATTTTAATATTGGAAAGTTATAGCAAATATAAAATTCATCAGGACGAACTTTCATTCGATTCAGCATTTTTTTCAGAAAAGACGAAAAAAAAAATTCAAGGTTTTTAGCTTACTTTTATAAGGAGCTTTCAAATCAGTTCGCATTTGAGCGTATGATAACAAAACAAGAAATAATGAAGTATGAAAGATATTTTCAAGCCACTGAGCCTGTTTTATCCGTAAATCATGCTTGCAAAATCCCCAGTTCGTCCCATCTCGGAATCCCAAATTGATATGACTTTGAGCTTGAAAACAGGGCTACTGTGGTGATAATCGACTTTGTTTTTATGCGCTTTTTGCTCTGTAACAGCTGCACAAAACGTACATTTTCAAGAGGTTGTCTGTACGTGTTTTGTCTGTATGTAGATGTGTATGTCTGAATGCATTTTGTCCGCAACTTTCAACTTAAAAACCAGGAAGCTGAAAATTTAGGGGATGTTCCCTGCCCATGTGACTCCGCAAAATTAATTCTAGCCTTCCCCTGCACCTCGTGAAAGTTTTGGCGAGGAAATTATTATCTCCGGAACCACAAAAGCTAGGAATTTCAGATTTTGAGCTAGTGTCTTCTGCCCGCGTAAAACCACGCAAATTCAAATTCAGTCTTCATTTACGCCTGGATCTCATCGTCCTCGTGAAAGTTTTGGCGGAAAACATTATTATCTTGGAAGTCAAAAGAACTAGGAGGTTGAAGATTTCAGGAGAATCTTTTCTGCCTATGCAGGACTGTCACAAGCTCAAATTTAGTTTCCAAGCATGTCGAGGTCTCACGCGTAACCACGTGAAAGTTCTAGCACGAAAATCACTGGAGGGCCAAAAAATTGGGATGGAGGTTTGAGAGGAGGTTTCAAATTCAGCTTTTACGTACCGATATCATAAATTTTTAGTTGGAAATTTAGCAATTAGGAACCAAACAACATGTCACCTTTTTTTGCAGAGACTGAAGTGCAAAGCAGTGAAAATAATTAACAAACAAATATTCACTGAACGGAACTGCACAAAACGCATGGCTGCACCGAATACCCTGCTACGCGCCGTTGTTTATTAATCCACGCATTTAACAGAACCCAAATCTAGCCTCATCCTGCGATTGATCGGAATCATCCTCGATACAAAATTTACGCGCCTTTAGGCCTTTTCTTAGCAGTTTGAAATTCTTGTTTTTTTCATTTCAGATTTTTAAGCTTCTTTTCTGCGCTTTTCACGAATTCACAAAGATAATCACAGTTTCAGCTCTGTGACACTTCCGGTAATTTCAAAGCGATACAGACTGGAATTCCAGAGATGTGAATTCAGAAGCAGCTTTCGCATCCTCATTTCCTTTAGCTGTAAATTTAGGATTGAGAAAAGTCGTCGCAGTGAGTGACAACAGTACGCTCTCAATCCTAACAAATTGCAGTGCACCGCTTTTCTGCAGCCACTCAAAATCGTACATTTTTCAGCACCCAAACAGACGAAAGTAGAGCAGGACCAAGGATACGAAATATATAACGGTAAAGCTT